TTTCCAATTTAAATTCCGGTAATTAGGAAAAACCATAGAAAACAATTTTTCCGCGTGGTTTTTTTTGTCGATTTTCTTTTTTCAATGAACTACGAATCGTTGGACCGATCCCTCTCCTCATCCCCCTCACCCCTACCACTTTATTCTTTTAACGAGATTAAATTATTTTGCAAATTTAATAATAGATCTATCAGATCATTTCAATTACGTTTCAACGTAATTCGTATAATTTTTGAATATCGATTCCTCGCATCTATTATCTCGCAATACATTCTACCAATTAAAAACGCGCTGGGTATATTAATAATTGTCCTATGAACGTGTATGAGTATACATGTACGACGAGTGTACGTGAATCGTGTCTGTGTGTCTGTATGTGTGTATTTATGTATGTGTATTTAGTCGTAGCCGATTTTTCTTCTTTCTCTTCTTTTCCGAATGTCAGCAAAAAAAACGAGAGAGATCGATGATATAAATATAATTTTTCCTTTGATATTATCTTTTGATCTGTTCGATCTTTACGATAGTCCAATTTCATTCTTGGTTTTGTTTTTACTTTACCCGTCTTCTCCCCCTTAGTTCCCCGAAGATGGATCCCGTTTATGGTACGTTGCTCCGAGCCGACGATATTTGAAGCTTTTTTCTTCTTCTTCTTCTTCTTCTCTCTTTCTCTCGTTCTTTCATTTTCTTTTTCCCATTTTTGTCTCTTATCGTTAATTAACATTACTATTTTATAATGATGGCTAAATTGACAAGTTTGTTACATATATATATATATATATATTTATACTTTGTGTTTTATATATGTATATATGTATATCGAAGGTCTCCCTTATTTTATTAGAATTTTTTTTTTCTTCTTCTTCTTTTTCTTTTTTGTTTCATCGTTGAAAACCTAAAGAGAATTTACCTATACTGGCAATGTTTTATAAGGTATGTTTAATGATGAGCATGTTATAATATGTGCATGTAATTATCACGCGTTTGTATTTTCTTCTTCTTCTTCTTATTTTTTGTATTTTCGTTCACTTATTTAAGTTGTGAAAGATCGTAAACGTTTCCTCTATTTACTTAAATAATGTTCGAAATGTTTGTCGGGTATTGCAAAATTTGTTCATTCATATATATTTTATTCTTTCGTGTATTATTATAATATTATAACGCTTTGCGTATAATATTTTTCATCCCTTATCGTTCGTTTCTGCACCCTTTTTTTTTATTCATCTCTGTTATCTTTCTTATCTCATCTCTTTAATACGAATTTTATTTTCTATCTCTTTTTTATTTTAAATGCATATACGTAGTAGTATTAGTTAGTAGTTAGTATTTAGTAGTTAGTAGTTAGTAGTTAGTAAACGTGTGATGTTTTCATTCGCGAATATTATTATAATTTTAATGCACGTTTATATTTTCTTTTTATATTTCATTTTCTTTCCTTTTCTTTTCTTTCCTTTGTATATTCACGCACGCGAGTCTCGCGTTTAATATTAATTAAATATTTCGTAGTAATAATAATAATAATAATAATAATAATAATAATGATAATAATAATAATAATAATAATAAGGAAGAGTTCTCTCGTAATTTTTTTTAATAATAACAGCGATTCGATGCGACGAGAACGGATACTGGAAATTCGTACCAGAATTTGAGGAAATGGCCGTTGACGAACTCGCACATTTTCGAGCACGTTGTTGTTTCATTAATAATAATCATAATAATAATAATAATATTAATAGTAACGATAATATTAATATTATAATTAATAATAATAATTATTATAATATCGTCGTTTACGTCCATTAATGTTTTTATTATTCTCGTGCGAGTTCCGTTCATCTTTCTTTTCCCCATGAAAATCCGTTCATTCGTCGCTACGAGCCGCCATAAAACAACACCAGCCGATGTCCCCGTGCTCTACTTCGCCTCCTTCAACAGCACCAGGTCGTCCGCGACTACGTCACTTATATGCAGGTAAATGACCCAGTACATCAGGTTGAAGCAGACGAAGCACACCGGGAATACGATGCGGGAATACTTGTCGATGTCTGATGGCGTTATGCCTGTCAAAGAAGACACAAAAAATACCAGAAATAAAACTAAATATCAGACACTTTTATTTCTTTTTTTTATTTTCATTCCACATATTTCTCTCTTTTTTTTTCCCCTCCTCCCTTGTGGATTCATTTTTTGATTTATTTATTTATTTATTCTTTTTTTTTTTGAGGGTTAGGAAGTGGGATTTTGTTTTTACTTCTGAAAGAAAAAAAAAAAACTGGAAATTTTGTTAATAATAAAATAAAGTTAAATTATATTCTGATATTCGATTAAATTCAATCGAAATATTAATCTCGAATAATTATTATTTTTTTTTTTTTTTCTATATATAGAAAATCGTATCGGTATATTTGATATTATTATTTATGGATAATCGAAAGAAAAAAATAGAATCACAAATAATAATAATAATAATAATAATAATAATACTTTTTTTTTTTTTCGAGTGGAGTTTAATATTAAAAATGAAATATTAAAACAAAATAATAATAATAATCTTAGTCGTAATAAAATTGAATTCAATCTGTCATCCCATAAACATATCGTCTGAAATATAAAATCATTTAGAAATATATGTGATTTTTAATCAAAAATAAAGAAAATAAAACTAAAAATGTATTATATTGATAAATAATGTTGAATGAATCGTACCATAAAGTTTGCTAATGTCTTTTCCAGGATGAATGAGATGTTGTGGCGCGGGTGCAGCTTCCTCGTCGGCTCTACCATTTATGGTGTTTTCTAGGGTTCCACCTTTGCTGTGTGCCTTCGGGTCGTGCACCTTGAACCGCACCTCCTGGACAACACGGGACCACTTACAAGAGACACGGCAGTTCGATTTGGGGTGTCCTTCGTCAAGGATTACCCCTTACTTTGTCAGATTGGCATGCGACATCGAGGACACTACGTTGTCTACGTTTGGTGCATCTTTTAATTTAACCCTCAGTCAAACGTGAGTTATAAACGTGTCGACAAGACGTGTGTAATAAACGTGATCAAAATTGTTCGTGTGTTTTTTCTTTTTTTTTTTTTTTTAAGGATTTAACATAAATCTTTGTAGTGCAATTAAGTTTTGATATTTTTCGTATTTTGTTTTTCTTTTTTCATCACTAATAGTAACACATAATTCGAACATAACTTACTACATAATTAATCTCAACTTTTCTCCTATCTGCGTGCATTTTTATCACCATTTGTTTTTATCTTTTATGTCTAATTCTAATGATTATATTCTTCATACACACATATATAAATATAATATGAATTTAATTGGTTTACACGCGTGCACTGGTAATTATGACGATAGATCAATGATAATAACAACTACGAAAAAAAATAATCTAACCCTATGATTTATTTTATAATAAACAAAATTATTTCTAATATGTAAAACAAATCCAATTCCTTTTTTTATTTATTTCTTCGATTCACAATTAAGCCCATTGTCATAATTACTTCAAGCACGTATACGTGATCGTGTGAACAAACCAAAAACAAAAATAATTATATATCCTACAAAATATCGATACTAATAATCGAATAAAAAACAAAATCTATAAACTAATGGAAAATTTATTTATTTCGATTATAATTATATTATATTCTTTGGGGTTACACATTCGTGAGAAAAAAAAAAGAAAGAAAAAACATAAAAAAAAAAAAAGATAGAAAGGGCAAACTTCGTAATAATGAAATTCGGTTGTGGGCTTGAAGGGGTCATGAGGGGGAGGGGTCGTGCCTCGAAGGTTTAATTAAAACATTCCGATAGCGGTGACGCGTTTTACGAGTTTTCATGAAGAGTAGAGTACCCGGGGTCCAGCAGCATTTAGTACTAGCCAGAGGTACACACCAGCCGTCTCTTGAATATTTTTTTCCATTATCTACTACAATCTACAATCCGCGAGATTAAAAGAAAATTTATAGTGGATTGCGCGCGTTCGTCCCTATATAACAGGAGAAAGGGTCCGGTTTTGCTATGATGATGGTCCCGTAAGGGAAAACGCGCGCGCGCATTCAACACATTCAAACCCGTGCACGTTCGCCTATCCGAATGGGAAATTCATTTCGTGAAAACCTTTTAGCTTTTGATCTTTTTTTTTTTTTTTTACACGGAAAAACTGTTCCTAACCTACGAAGGAACGACATTTTCTTGTGTGTGTGTGTGTGTGTGTATGTTTTTTTTTTTCTTTCTTTTCTCTTCATTTTCCTTTATCCTTTATCTTTCATCCCTTTTCTCTCTCTCTCTCTCTCTCTCTCTCTATCTCTATCTCTCTTTCCTCTTCTCCTTCATTTATTTGTTTCTTTTTTTTTTTTATCGCGTTAATTTGATCTTATCTCATCATCATCATCATCATCATCATCATCGTCATTATTATTATCATCGGGGAAAATTAATGAAATAAAATCTTTTTGATCACACGCGTTATTGTTACAATTAATATTAATGTTTGACAATAATTTTTCGAATTACCAAATGGGCGCGTGTAAAATAATTGTGTGTGTGTGTGTTTGTTTTTTTTTTTCTAATAACAATTCTCGTCGCGAATTAAAAATAAAGGGGGGAATCGTTTTAATCGAGAATAAAATATTATTCAAATAAAAATTAACCACATGCAGCAATTTATTCGTGCAGATACTTGCGACCATTCAATTTTTACGAATATTATAATATATATATATGTATATATACATGGTGTTTCTCCAACAGGGTGGTACGACCAGGTTTCGGAGATGAAAATTCAATCGAAAAGTAAACGAGTAACATTATGTTATCCGAAGTCCGATTCTGTTCGGGGGTTGGGGGGGGCTGGAAGGGTTGGAAATGTTACTCATTTATTTTCGATTAATTCGTACATACAAATTCAACTCTTCACTTGGTTGTACCATCCGTACCGGTTAATACACCATGTCAAACGTTATGCCAATATTTGGATTATTTATTTTAGATGATAATAAAACAACAACAACAACAACAAGAAAAATAAAAAAAAAATAAAATAATAATCCAATTGGCAACGCGTTAAAATTCTAATCAATTGCAAAATGATTATATTTCCAGAGTTTTGGAAACGAGTCATCATAATAGGTGCGGATCCGTGTGTGCGATCGTTAAAATACCAAGAACTTTGTACTTTCGTACGAAGAAATAATAATAATAGTAATAAGAAGTAGTAGTAGTAGCAGAAGAATTAGAATTAGAATTAGAAGAAGTAGAAGTAGAAGAAGTAGAAGAAGAAGAAGAAGAAGTAGAAGAAGAAGAAGGGTGAGAGAGACTTCGGTCGACGTTACTCACAGTTTGCTTAGGCGCGTGATCACCATGATCACCGGGTACACCCGGTGGTCCTGGATTTTCCCTCGCCGCTTTCATGCTTTCCGCTATCTTCTGGAAGCGGTTCTTCCGCATTTGAATCCTTTTAGCCATGTAACCCACCGTGGCGTATTCTGCGAAGACAAAGAAGCCGTGGAAATAAAGGGAGGGAAGGTAACGCCGTTATCGTCACCATTTTCTGAGAGACTTTCTCGTGTGTACCTGCCTCTGCGAAGTTTATTTTATTTTTTTATTTTTTTTTCTCTACACTTTTTTTTTTTGTTCTGCTTTCCGAATAACAAATGATAGATCGTTAGATCCTGGTCCCTTTTTTTTTTTTTTTTTATTTATATATATAGAAAAAAGATCCCCGAGGACTATGAAGGAATTTGAAAATAAGGAAGAAGAATAAGAAGAAGAAGAATAAGATGATGAAGTAGAAGAAATAGTAGATAAATAGAAGAAGAAGAAGATGAAGAAGATGATGAAGAAGAATAACAGTTGGTTAGGATAATTTTAGATAAATCAAGGATGGCATGGGGTATGGGTGGGGTGTCACTTGGCGGGGTTGCTCGGTCTCAACAATTTCAAAATTTGGTACCAAAAAAAATAAAAGGAATAAAAAAAGGTTATAATCGTTTAACGACGAATCGATTCGATTTGCACTTGTTTTTTCTATTTTTAATAAATTAAAATATAACGAGAGAAGAAATGTTCGTAACAAAGACGAGCTCGGCTGTGTGTTTTCGGTTCGATCTCCGGAGAGACGATGGCGCGATATTTTAAAGGAGAGTGGAGAAGGAAACAAATGAAAAAGAAAAAAAGAAAAGAGAGACAAGTAAAACAAGAACAAAACCCGTTCGAAAATGGAAAATCATCATCATCGCGACGTATGGATAGGAAAAGAAATCAGGTGCCGTCTTATGTGTATGCGTGTTCTTCTAACCAACTTTGATCGATCTGGAAAAAAAAAAAAAAAAAACAAAAAAACAAAAAAAGGGGGTGGGAAAATTTAAGGAAGGACGGACGGACGTATGGACGGACGGACACGTCTCGTAGCTCGGGAGACGAACGCGATCGCGAACAGCTGTTCGAAGCGTGCGATTGGACTCGTCTTATCACCGTGTGTGCGTATAAAAAAGTTGACAGAGCTTAAGTATAAAAATATTTTTTCTCTTTTTTTTTTTTTTTTTTTTTTTTTTTTTTTTTTTTGGTTTTTTTTTTTTTTTTTGGCAGCACGTAGTAGAGGCAATGGAAGAGTACACGATCGCACTCACCGAGCAACGAGGCAAAGACCATGACGNACGGACACGTCTCGTAGCTCGGGAGACGAACGCGATCGCGAACAGCTGTTCGAAGCGTGCGATTGGACTCGTCTTATCACCGTGTGTGCGTATAACTCTTACGTTAGAGCTTAAGTATAAAAATTTTTTTTTTTTTTTTTTTTTTTTTTTTTTTTTTCTTTTTCTCTTTTGGTTTTTTTTTTTTCTTATGGCAGCACGTAGTAGAGGCAATGGAAGAGTACACGATCGCACTCACCGAGCAACGAGGCAAAGACCATGACGAAGCAGGTGCCCAGATAGACGTCGATGGACTTGACGTAGGAGATCTTTGGTAGAGCCGCGTTCGTCGAGGACATTAGGGTCGTCATAGTGAGCACAGTGGTTACTCCGAGGGCCACCCGAGCGGGGGTCGCGTTTCGGTTTAGCCAAAAGCTCACCCACGATATTATGACGATCAAACCGGAAGGTATGTAGATCTGGATCAGGTAGTAGCCCATCGACCGTACGAACTGGATCTCGCAGGCCAGCCGCGAGTAATTTCCTGCGATTAAAAGATCGAAGGTCAGGATTGTAAGGGGGATTATGGAGAGGCGTGTTTTTTTTTTTCCTATGTTTTTTTTTTTTTTTTTTAATTAGTTATTTATATATATTTCTCTTTCTCTCTCTCTCTCTCGCGCTCTCGCTCTTTCTTGCTTGCTATATTTCTTTCTTTCATTCTTTCTCTCATTCTCTCTCTCTCTTTCTCTCTCTCTCTTTCTCTCTGTCCATCATTTTCACTTTTATCGTCGGTCTCTCTCTCTCTCTCTCTCTCTCTCTCTCTCTCTTCCTCTTGGTCTCCCTCTTCTCCTACTCCTAGTACTTTATTTTTCTATCATTCTCTCTTTCTCTCTTTCTTTCTTTCTTTCTATATCATTCTCTCTCTCTCTCTCTCTCTCTCTCTTTTTTTTCTGTATTTTTCAAAATCGTAGCAACACCACCCTGTTGTCTCGACACGCTTTTCCGTTTCCTTTATTTCTCTCTCTCTCTCTTTTTCTTCCTTACTTCTTTCTCTCTCTCTCTCTCTCTCACTTTCTTTCTCTTTCTCATTTTCTCTCTTTCATTCTCTTTCTCTCTTTCTCTCTCCCTCTCTTTTTACCCGTCTCCGTTTTTCTCGCGTCGACGCTAGCAGTGGGTAACATTAGCGATGTAAATACGCGACTTCGTATATCACGTGTGTTCAAAAATGTGTCATCCTCGGTCGCCCGCGTTTCTTCCCTCTTCCTATTTCTTTTTTTCTCTTTCCGTTTCTTTTTTTTTCCTTTCTTCCCCATATTTTCTACCGCTCGAAAATTCGTCGAAAATTCTTTTCTATGATTCTTATTTTTTTTTTTTTAGCAAAAGCAGATAATAACTAGAAGTAGAGAGTAGTAATAAGAGAGGTAGTAGATGGTGAAGAAGAAGAAAAAAAAAAACAAAAGGGGGGTAGAAGAAGAAAAAATTGCGAGATGAAAAAAGAGAAGAAGACGAAGAAGAAGAAGAAGAAGAAGGAGACAAAAAAAAGAAGAAGAAGAAGAGGGGTTAGAAGAAATACAAATATAATTGTTCGAAACGCGAGCGAACGCGGGACAACGCATATTTTACGAAGTCGCGCATCGACGTGAAAAAACGGGCCTTAAGAAGAAGAAGAAGAAGAAGAAGAAGAAAAAGAAGAAGAAGTAGAAGAAGAAGAAGAAGAAGTAGAATAAGAAGAAGAAAAAGGGAGAGAAAAAGGGTGGGAATAATATATATAAAAAAAAAAAAAATACTTTCAATAAGAAAAATATCACGGAAAGACGAGAAAGCGTTCGTTGGACAAAGGGTGGTTTGTCTTTAGGATTATTTTGTAGGGTTGATTCGTGGTAATTTGGCGGAAGAAAAAAGGTTTAGACGGGATAAACAACAACAGCAACAGCAACAATAATAATAATAATAATAATAATAATAATAATAATAATAATAACAACAAACAAACAACAACAACAATAACAAGAACAACAATTTCCATCCCCCGTTGTTTCGAGAGTTTTTTTGATGCTGTATTTTGTTCGTATGAAAGAAAAAAAAAAGAAGAGAAAAAAAATGATAGAGGATTTAGAAAATACATAAGCAAATAAAAAAAAAAAGAAAAAACAGAAGATAGGAAAAAGATTAAAACAACGACAAGAGAACGCGCGACGTGGAGAGTAATTTAAAAAACAAAAAATATAAGTATAAAAAGATAGTATTATTATTATTATTTTACGTAAGAATAATTTTTTTTTTCGATAATATAATAATTATAATATTATTTCGTTTGGGATTGGGACGAAATATTCTATGTATATATATATTTTTTGGGCTTGTTTTTTTTTTCTTTTTTTTTTAAAACGCGTTTTTCAATACGACAACGACGAGGATGACGACGACGACGACGACGACGACGACGATGACGACGATGACGACGACGACGAGGACGAGGACGAGGAACGAAGAAGACGAGGTCGCGCGAGGAAGAGAGAGAAATTCGATTAATCGAACGACGACGACGACGACGATGACGACGACGATGACGACGACGACGATGACGACGGCTGTTGCATTATCGTTGAAATTGTTGGTGGTGGTGGTGGTGGTGGTGGTGTGGTAATAATAATTAGAAAAAAAAAAAAAAAATACATATATGTATGTATATATGTATATAAAAAAAAAAAGTTGAAAAAAAAAGAAGAAGAAGAAAAAGAGATAGAATTAATTATACAAAATATTCACAATACAATATAATAAAACTTATATATATACATATATATAGATTTCAATATATATATATATGTATATATATAGGTTTATAGAAAAATATGATATACATGTAGAAACACAACTATACAAAGTTAGGACACTAATCGACGTTTTTATATGATCGTAGTTCTTGCCGACATTCGGATAGCGTTCACTCCACCCTTTTATTCATACCGTTTAAGTACGATGATAAAAAATGATGAACGTTTTTACACACACAATATAAATATAAAATATATAAATATATTAGTATTAATATTGATATCTCCCAGGTGATTGGATTGTTCTATTTTCTCTCGTATCAGCTAGATAAAATGCTGTATAAAGATAATATTTATTTTACGGCAACAGTGGGGTAATTTTAAGGGTAATGATGTGGTAGTGATGCTTGTGATGATGGTTGGAAGAGGGGGTTTCGCTTATCCGTATTATTTGTATTTCTGAAAGTTAATCCATTAATTAGGTTAGCTTGCAATAAATTTCTGCCATTGAAAATTAGAAAAAAAAATAAATAAATAAAATTATATCTAAAGATTTTATATTAATTATTAATAAATAATAATTGATTGTTTGATTGATTGATTGATATGATGGTGTCAGGGTTGTTTGGTTGGTCTTAGGGTGTCGGGGGCGGGGGCCTTGGGTTGTGTTCATACGTTACCGGTGGTAAGACTAATCTCCATAGCTCGCTGCCTGTGCCCGAGGACCTTGAACTGTGGAAGGGAGACTTCGTTGCTGACACCGACGCTGTTAGCACCCTCGTTCCACTTGTATCGGATGTCCCTCATCGTGTATCCGACTGAAAAAATAGAGAGACCCCCCGCGGTTGGTACGTACCTCGCGGAAGCCCTCACGCATTTCAAGGGCCAAGCTCCGACAGGGCCTCCACTTACCTCGCACCCCCGCAAACCTCCAGTTTTCTTTTATTTTTTTTTTATTTATTTATATATATATATAGATATGTATGTATATATATATATGTATTATTTTTTTTTTAATTGAATTTTTCTTATTTCTTTTTTGTTTGTTAGTTTGTTTGTTTGTTTTCTTTTTTTTTTGTTTTGTTTGGTCATATATGCGCGCGCACACACACATATGTATACTTGCATACACAAGCACGTATATAGGAGACACACACAAGTTACATATATTCGTTATTTATTTCATTCGTTCGCGCGTACGTTTTTTGCATACACACACACACACACCATGCCCGTAAATTTTTCTACACACTTGCATACTATTCTAATTATGATAATATATCTAATTATATCTATCTATAACGGGGTATGTGATTAATTTAATTATTCCTAATTATTTTCTATCATTGACTTTCTCTCCTCGTTTATTCATTTTAATTTATTATTATCGTCATCTACCTTTTTTTTTTTTTAAGCATACACGCACGTACGCACACGCACACACACATATACCACATACAAAGTCAGGTGCATTCTCTTCTTATTCTGTGTGTCTCGAACGAGTCCTTACGTGAGTTTTCATGGGATGGGGGTGGGGGGGGGGGGGGGGGATCATGCTCCGATAACCATTCGTATCTTCGAGATTTTTGTTGCTTTTTATGATATTTATTATTATTTTGCTATTACGAGATTCGAACTCTTGTGTGTCATACTTTTATTTTTATTATTTTTGTTTCTTTCTTTTTTTTTTGAAATTTTATAATCTTTCAAATTAGTTTCCTATCACTTTACTCTCTTTCTCTTTCATTTATTTTCCTTTTGTTTATTTGTTATCTCTTCGATACGAATTTTTAGTCACGGAGATGTCCGAATATATATATTTGTCGATATTGATTAGGCCAAATTTATTTTTGGATTACGGACAATAGACGTCCTCGTGTCCGTAGTATGCATAATTCGTCGCATGGCAATGACAAAATTCGGATAAGACTTGGTTTGGTGAAGGGTGCAAATTTAATGTGCCGATTTTCATTATCTTATTATATCATCATTTCTTTTTTTTTGTTTTTCTCGAACGAAATTATTAGCGCAGGAGAAAAGAAAATTTATCCTTGGTTTTATTCTTTTTTTTTTCTTTTTTTTCCAATACTTTTTTTTTCTTTCAATATAATAACAGAGGCGAAGAGAGAACGATGGCAATAATTAAAATAATAATAATAAATAACCAATAATAATAATAAACCAATAAAAATAACCAATAATAATAATCAATAATAATAATAATCATATTTGGACAAGAATAACAACAACAACAAACAACAACAACAACAACAATAAAGGGTATCAACGGTGGTGTAAAACAGCGCGTGTGAATAAATTATGTGGTATTTAATTTTTTTTTCTTCTTCATTATTTTATATTTCATCGTATAACTTGCATCGAGTTTTGATTTCTTTTTTTTTTTTCCTTTTTTTTTCTTTTTTTTTCTTTTTTTTTCTTTTTTTTCGTTTAGTTTCAGAAGAGAGGAGGATATCTACCTGTAGATAGTGGTACGATTTTCTGTCCTTGCCTGTGACCGAGCACGCGAAACTGCGGTAGTTCCACCTCCCTCGCAATGCCGACCGATTCTAGGCCGGCGTTCCATTTGTATCGAATATCGCGATCTGTGTATCCAACTGCCGGGAGAACAAGAAACACAAATATCTTCGCTCTAACGTACAATAGTTAAAAAACACATAGAGGGAGAGAGAGAGAGAGAGAGAGAGAGGGTTGGTTAACGTTTTTTTTTTTATTTTTTTATTTCGAGAATGGAGTCTCGTAAATCGAAACAAATCAAAACGGAAAGAAACTAAGTTACACACAAATCAAAAGGGTATTTGTTAATTTATATTAAGGCTTAGGGTTATTATTATTCAATCGAAAACAAAAAATAGGGACATTTATTAAGATTCAAAATAGGGCTCGTGATATATTCGAAAGCAAAATTACAAACCCTTGTAATTCGGGTTATTAACACCCTAACGCGAAGATTTTTTTAATATTAACGATTGTTATTGATAGAAATTAGTTAATTAGGATCATTATTTCTTTTGTAATTATCGTTAATTATTATTATTATTGTTTAATCGAGTTAGAGTGTTTTGTTTAAATAAATTCCTTGACGATTATCGAGCAAGACGTTACACGATCCGTTCATCCAAGATGATATACTCATACAAATTTATAAAATATATATATTTAGGTTATTGTATTATAGAAAACAATATCAAAAATGTTTATTCAAAAATTATTTTTTATTTCTATTCATAGCAGATATTTTCGTTTCTTTCGATAAGAAAGTTAAAAAGAAGTATAATAAATTAATTATCACGTTCGTTCGTTCGTTCGTTAATTCATTCGTTCTTTCTATAGGACATAATTTCTATAGGACACTCTGTAAAAGATCGCGTGACCGTTTTACGAGTTTAACATTTGAGAAGTTTGCCCGAATTGTAGTAACACTTGTTACCTATTTATATCCGACTAATTCCATTGTGTAACCTTTAATAGTTATCCATGTATGTATAGATGATACATACATACATATAGACATACCGAACGGAGAAACATTCCTCTATAACTGAATCTTAGGTGATTACGATCGTAACATCGCATTCCAGACACTAAAGTGGCATTCCATCGCCTATGCAGCCACATTGCACTGCCAGAATACTCGTATTAAGCGATCCATGAATGGAAGAGCATACAAACACATTTGAAGATTAGCTTTGGTTCTCGTTCTTCGAGAATTCCAAATTATCGAATGCTACTTTTGCTATTACTTAATCCACAATCCTTTTTATAGTTAAACACTAACCTCGTTTAATAACCATTGAATAGAATCGAAAGAACGTGATAATGAAATTATTTTAATACCTAACTTACTTTCACGTATGATTAAATAACCCATATGTCGTGTATTGTAATTTGTTAAAAATTATATAAAGTGTATATTATTCATTTTTTTTTGTTATTTAAAAAAAGATAAATATATCGTTCATTTAATACGATTGGTTTAAAATCTCTGTCATGATTATATATATAAAGTATTAAATATATATTTATTCTAATATTTTGTTGATATTATCTTCGATGAACGATCGTACACGTTTTACGGATGCAGGATTAGAATTAAAAAAAGAAATAAGTATAATAGAGATTAGTTTATCTTATACACGTTTAATAATAAGAGAAATTATTTATCGATTTGTAATAAAAACGTTTAAGCGATCACATTACCGAAATGTTGTAGAATAAAAATAATAGGTTTAGGGTGTTTTTAAAAGGATGTGAGAAAATATTACGGATTATTTTTTTTTTACGGCACAGCGATTGGCGAATTGAATATTGCAATAAGGAATGGCTTTTGCTGCAGGCGACATTAGCGGAAAATCGAGGATTTTTTTTATTATGGTGGTGGCGTCAAGTTTGCGTTTAAGAAAGATTAAGGTTTATGTATGTACATATAGCGAATCACTGGAATATTATATATAACATTGTACATTTTAAATAATTAATTTTTTTTTTCTAATACAAATTTTCTAATTTCATCTAAAGAAAAACCTACTGTTTTAGGATCATTCTTAATAATATTATTTTTGTTAGTAGTTTTTGACTGAACCTTAATGTTTGAATTTCATTTCAAAACGATTGGATATAAATATTTGTGAAACCTATTTTCTTATTATTTATATGTTAAAATAAATCTCTTATAATAAAAAATACTCTCTTTAGTAATAAAATATAAAATTTAATCGAAAAAAATCATAATAAAAAATAATAAATCCCCTGTACTGATACGAATATTTTCTTATGCAATTAAATTAATCAATGCATTAAATGCATTATTATTTATGCATTAAATAATATCAATTTGAAAGCTTAATGATCCTAAAAAATATGTAGTTTCTATATAGAAGAATTAAAAAACATTGTTGCATTACAAACAAATATCAATTGTTTGAAATGTATAATAGTTGTAAGAATACTTTTATGACTCGCTATATACATTACATATATACTTATGTGTATATAAACATATAAATATATGTATTTAGAGTAGAGATATATGGAGAAGCGGAGGAAGAAAAGCTCTCTCTCATTAGCTCTAATAAAATACAATAGTAATTTTTGTTATTTTGCATTTTAAAACGTGTCGTCATGCCGTTGTTTGTAGCAGTGCGGATAAAATAAGCATAAATCAACAGAAAAAATGTTAAACTACGAGACAACGCCATTCATTCGGTGCCCTTTTCCCTTAGGTTTCGTGCAAACGTGCATTCGTGTGCATTCGTGCTTCGTGCATTTATATTGTGCTTACCAAATTACGCGAGGAAAATAAATATCAACTTTCCCTTATTTGCTTTTTTTTTGTTTTTTTAGACATTTTCAATAATATTCGAGAATACTATTTGGTGGTACGTTAACACCGTCAACAACCATAATTCAAATTTTTCGCGATGCCGAAAGAAAATTATTAATAATAATTCGTAACCGTTTATCACAAATTACTCGACTCAATAATCTTTCACCACTGTTAACCTCGTATTTTGTAGTATTAAGAAAAAAAAGAAAGAAAAAAAGAAAAGAAAATTTAAATAAAAGGAAAACACGCGAGTGAAATAATAAAATATATAATAAAAAGAATAGACAATTTTTTTAATATGTCACCATTATTTTTATTTCTGTTTCTTTTAAATGAATCTACGCATACCGGTGTTTGATACGTTGATTTAATAATTATTATTAACCCTCGATTTTTAAATAGGAATTAAAAGATACTTCATGCCAACTAAATTTGCCTCTACTACGAGAATAGAAATAAAGATAGATAAAAGAA